AAATGATGAACTATTCTTTTAAGAATTTAACTTATTTGTTAATGAGTTATCAGTTTTACTTCACCAATATCTACAGCTCTATGACTTTTATCAAAAACAAAATTTGATACATTGTTATTCATTAGCAACAAATCGAAGGCTTATTTAACAAATGAGATTTAAAAACTCACCCCAATATAAATGCTAAAACTCAGCAATCTAAAATGGCTTTTCAACAACTAAAATAAAAGAATTTCAATTTACTAATGAATAATTAAAAAAAATTCGAAGTGAAAATAGAATGATTTACAAGCAACAAGATTTTGCTTTATTAGCACTTCAATTGAATCTACAATAAGAACAAACTGCAAATAATCTTTTTAAAGAGTCATTTACCTATTACTAAAAAGTTTTTTTTTTTATTATTAAGCATGATAGTTTTACTTAACAGTAGCAATTCTGTAATATTAACATGATTGATTTTGATAATTTTTTTTCGTTGCACATAGATCTTGAATTTTATTGGTTAAATAGCATTGCCGGGGTATAGTTAGGATCTACATGGATGCAAAATTGTCAAATAATATAAATAATACATAAAAAAATCTGTACTAATAAATTTTATTATAATACCTCATATAGACTTGATTATTTAATAAATGAAATACCCCAATGTTGCACAATTCTATAAGTAGGTTGCCCAATAGCAGAAATACCTGTATGTTTCTTCATCGTAATAGTTTATCCCAAAATGAGAGACAAAACGAACAATTATTCAACCAATTCGATAATTTATTGATTTCGGCATGATCAGTATAATGTTTATTATTTACGGAGATAGTCTAAAGCCAGGTATGTGCGTATGTAAGTGGGTTTTAAATTGGTTACTAATCGATTTGTAAATTGAAACTCACGTAGCTTTAAACAACCTCTATTTACAATGCAACAGTGACAATTATTAATCGATAATGACCAGATAACCAATATCAATATAACGAAAAAACTTATCATCGATGCATAAAATTAATTAAAAGTCTAATATGTACTAGAGGAGCGGGCAAATCGTCCCAATGATTGGCTTTAGGAAAATACTATCTTGATAGTAGACTGAGTGCTTGCTTATTAGGTGGAAGTACCTAAACAATACTCCAGTCAAGTATAATAGCCAAGGAAATAAACGCCAATAAAAGTCGAATTGCACACGTGGAGTTAGAAAACTTTCGTATTCCAGATCGACCGCATATTCCAATACTGGATAACTTAACCTTATTTGAGAACCGCGTGGCACTATTGTTCAATGATAACAGTATAAAACCCGGTACGACAAAGAGAGAATACATTAACTGCACCATCGTCTCCAAGTTTATGTATGTGGACCTGCGCTAAATTGGTGTCGAGTCAAAGTTTCTCCCAGGTTACAACGCTGTTTACAGGTTTGTATTTGTGATATCGTATTATTTTTTTCATGCTTATTGCCCGGATCTCAGATTCGAACTGAATCAGTTTTTTTTATTTTTAGATGATATCGAATCGAACTCCACCCTCGAAAATTTAAAAAAAAACTAGTCATCTATATTTCTCGCCGTCACGATTATTTCAACCTTTTTAACCGGTTTACCCGATTTCAGATTATACGGGTGTTCCGGGTGACAATTTTATTCCGGTTCGGAACTCTACATCCGTCGTGGAGTTGACATCAGTACAACCGTCATCTATACAGAAAGAAGAGCCTACATTCATTAACTAGTATATCTACTGTGCAGAATATCTAAAGATGGAAATATCATAACTAAGTTTATAAATCAAATAATAATAACCATAGATATCAATTTATTGGGTTTTTTTATCTAATTGTAAGGAAATATTATAGAGTTATATATAGCATTATCGTGTTACTCTATATGTAAATACAACATGTAAATCAAACAATCATTTTTTTACAAAAAGTAAAATTTTTAGTTAAATTAAAGCTAAGGTTAGAATTAGCCTATATTAAAATTTTATAAGAAATTTTGTTGTTAAAATATTAAGATAGCTTTTTAGTTAAAATTTTTAATTGTAATTAATTTTTTAAAAATTTATAATTTTTAAAAAGTATTTATTCGAGAATACCAAGATATCTGAATTGAAAATTTGGGGAGGTATTAAAAATAAAAAATACCAGGTAAACCATAAAAGTGAGTGTTTGGGTTTGGGTAAATTTTACAAGAGCAGGGCAAAAATAGTAGTATAGCCTGCCTGTAAAGGTATAAAACCTATTTGATACAATTATTCAAAACTTGAATGATATTTGAAGTAAAACAATAAACTATTCTGGGTACTAGTACTTCGAGAATACACAATTACAGCTGAAGCACAGCGTATCACTGGAATTAAAAGCTGGAGGGTTTGCCGAAGTCTTCAAGCTCATGCTAGAGGATATCTTTGGCAATACGTGAATACATAAAAGTAGTATTCTCAATCAGGAGTTCAGCGACGTGTTGTTTCAATAAATCAAATTCTGATTGCATATTCGGTAACAACTTTCTTATAGGACGTGATTTATTTAAAATTCATTTTATCCAAACGGGACTTTAGGTCTCACTTCCTTTATGTCTCCACATCTCACGAAAAATATTCTTGATATAATGTATAACCTTGGATTCTTTATTGATGAGTAATAAATTACATGATTTGACTCATAACCGTGTTACATAAATTTACAAGTTGTCTAAACTATCTATACTAAAACATTATTCCAGCATTAAGTTCATCATTTGTCCCATCAATGGGTCGTCCAGTTATACGGGAAATCGCAATACAAGCAATGCCAGAAAGAAATTAGCTTCATAACTTTAGTAAAGATCCTGTTGAGGATTTTTTGTTATGATGCTAATAAAATCATTGCGAAATTTTGATGATTATTTCGCGGACTGCTAGCCGATACAAGTTTTACACGATCCCATCATACTGCCTATAGTCGAAGAGGCTTAATTTAAAGCCAAGTATATCTTAGTATATATATCTTCCATTGGAACTTTCTGATCTTAGTGACGATAAATCTACACTGATAATAAATAAATGATTAGTAAAATCAACCAATCGCGTTAAAAATCATCAAAAAAAAAATCATACAATTCGGTTTTTCATGCGTAATATCCGAGATTTTTATCTACACTCAAAATAGCTCTCAAGTTTCCAAACTATGCTTTTACAAAAAATTATCCAAAAAATTGGTTCATTCGCCTCACTCTTATCGCCTATCGGATGGTTTACCTGGTTTACATATTTCGTGATTATTCCAATGTGTTCTTTATTCGGCTGGCTGGTTTGTTTCCTCACTCTGCCAACTTTTTAATCTTTGTTGCCTCTTAGGCTCTACCATTTGTCATCGTTGCTTTTATTATCGCTAATATATTTGGCGCTATTCAGTTGTTGTTGAGAGGTGAACATTGCAATGAAAATTAGATTTTACATAATCACGTGTTATAACTGATAATCATCTAATAATTTCGCTTAGCGATTTATCCATCAGAAAACGATACAGAAAACATAAACGGGTAATTATAATGTGAAATGTTATCCAAGTGATTGTAGTTAACTTTTCTACATTATTTCTAGAATGTTTGTACCCACTCGAGAAGCTCTTAGGACTGTCCTCCCGCAAGCCTCTAACGAAGATATTGAAAAGTACGATGAACAGCTTAATAAAGTGGGCAATTTTGATCCTGTCCTTATCATTTCACCGAATCACAATTGGATAGCTCAAAATACGTATCCAAATTATCAAACGGTGATGAATGCATTTGCGACTAATCTTCTCCGACCAAATAATCGCAGGGATGAAAAGTCACTCTACGTATTCCACTTTTCAACTGTAACTGAACTCTACACCGTACGTGAAAATATTTGCAGACTTCACCCCAACGCGTTCTTCGATCCTAACGCTCAACCTCGACAAGAACCGATTGGTACCGCTTGGATACTTACTAAAGTGGGAGCACGTAAAAGTGATTTTGGTGAAGATAATAGGTTCTTTGTCATCCGTTAGGTTTTTAAATCAAAATGTAACATGATCAAGTGAATTAGAAAATGTTTCTTTTATAGCTTGAATTACATTTAATAAATCGGGTGATTTGTTATCAAAGCTATCAAAAGGCACCCCTAATCACAAAGTAACATTTCTCACGAAATCTTGATTTTTTTTTTTATACTGATTTTTGACATTAACAATTTTATTATACAAATCAACAAAATTATTTGTATTTTCTTTTTTAGTTACAGAACTTGTGAAGTATCCGGTTTGGTAGTTAATTCTTTTATAAATTTTTTTAGTATAAACAATTATTTTTTCATCTTTTCTTAGTTTTTTTTTCTTGTCAAGATTTTGTTTGTCTTGAAAATGATAGAGATTTATGAATCTACCAGAACAGTCACAAATTTTTCAGGCTACATGTTGATTGGTGGCCAATAAGAAATTATAATTAAGCGTAATATAATACGATCAAGAAAATCTAAAACAAATATTTGTTTTGACAAAAATCATTCTTTATCTCAAGAATTTATATAAGAACTCGCCTTTTATACTCTAATTAAAGTTTTCTCAACTAATTTTACTATATATTTTTTATCACCAAACTCTAAATATAGCACTAACTCTAACTTTAATGAATTTTAGGAGGTTTGTTGCTTATTATATAACCCAAAAAATTCATGATCGCCCTGGTGAATTTGAGATCCATACTAAAAGATATTTAATTTAATGAAAAGTTTATATCAGCAGATTTGTGGAATTGAAATTAAATGAGTATATAAACATAATTAAGAAGTAATTTATCATAATAATCTTTTAAATTATATATAAATGCAATAAAAATATAACAAAACTTACACTAAATAGAAATTTGTATATTTTTTAGGCACTAAAATTGAGGATGCTTTTTACAAATCTAATTTTGAAAGTTTGCTGATATGTTTATTAAATAATCTACTTGTCGCCAGTGGTGACAGTACTAGATTTTATTTAGAGTTAGATTTAGAGTTAGAATAGGTTATAATATATGGTAAAATTATACAAAAAATATTTTTTGTTAAGACATGAAAGTTGGTTTCATAAGCATAATTTTGAGTTATTTTGATTTGAAATTTTTGAGGTTTTTAAATTGTGCAATCTGATTGGCCTGGGTCTGTCACCACTGGTGACAAATAGATTCGCCCTTTATTATATTACAGTATTTTAATACTATATATGAAATTATAATATTACAATATTATAATAATTAATACAGCACATGCTGTTGCAGTATTAATTTGCAAATTAATTCTACTGCCAATTATACTTCTAATAAGTAAAATCAGTAATAACAATAGTAATTAGTATCCAAATCCTATAATTTTGCATACAGAAATTCATGATGTAATTCAGAGCTTTATTACTAAAAACCTAATTTACTTTGATTATTTGGACCAAGTCTTTTTATATTTTAAACAAAATTTTACCACTATTAGGATTTAGTTTAATTAGTTTTAGTAGTAGATAATTGTATTATTTAAACTACATTATTCATACTTTTACAATATATATATATATTTTAAAATATTAAATACTAATTTTAATTATAGTATATAGTCAAACCTTTCTATAATCAGACACTTGGTTTTAAGATTGGTGCTTATAAAGAGTTTGTGTTTATTTTATTTTATTTTTTTAAACTAACCTTTTTGGGGCTAAGATTTTTATTCAAATAATTAGGTGAGTAAGCTTACAACAGAACCTCCTATTATATTAGAGAGTATGGATATTATCTATTTAAACCTTCTGTAATGCAAATTATTTGTATTATCAATACATCTTCATTATATTTGTTAGTTGAGAAATCTTAGATACTTTTTCTATTCCTTTAGAACTATTGTATCTTTACAGCATTGTTGTTAGAGCTTTTTATATCTACAATCTGGTTAACCTAGACTTTGGTAACTTATACCAAGTTTAAGAACAAGTACTTGCAAGCCAAAGCTGTTATTATTATCTACTTTTGTTCTTATAGAATTTATTTAAACTCAGCTTTTATTTTATAGACTATCTATCATGCCTTCAGTTTTTTTTAAACTCTCAATCTAGATAGCCTGAAAAGGTAACCTCTTCTTCTGATTACCTAGCAGCCTGGTTGGTATAATGCTTTTGCCAAACACCTTGGTCCTATTCAATTTTTCTGTCCTCTGAGTGATGATCTTTATGTAACACCATCAAAAATTTATATTAATTCTCTACTCAGATCTTGCCAAGCAGGCTTCTGTGTGCTTCAAATACTTGAATTTATCTGGCTGCTTTACCTAAGTTTTGTGTAACTTATACATTATATTAATGCTTTACAGCCTTCTAATACAATTTGATACAACCAAAGTTACAGATGCTAATTTATTAAATTACATATAGTCTATTATAACATATTCTATAAAATTTAAATTTTGTTATCAGTGGGATTCGAACTCTTGTTTTGCCCTTAGAGGTGTGACAACTTACCAACTTTACTAAGTTGTTACACTCTTAGAGTTTGTGTTTATATAGAAATTAAATTTTATAAATACTATAGAAGTTGGTTTTAAAAATTTATATAAAGCTGTTTGAAGTTATAATTTTGGTTAACATTCTTTTTGAAGCTTAAATGCAATAAAAGGAGAAAGTCAAATTAAACAAACATTATATAACATCTTAAAAAAAACTTTATTATTATTGGTTAGTTTTTAGTTATATGATTTGATAAAATCTCAAAATACAACAAATATTTTGATTAGCTATTTAATTTCAAAGAGAAGCTCTTGAAGATAGTGAAGAAAAAACATTAAACGAAATTTTAATTTCAAGCAGCCTAATTATAAGCAAATATAACTCTAAAAGAGGTGACTATAGAGAGGTCTGACTGTATTGCAATTTTTGCAATTACTATAATTAAAATATTTTTGTACAAAAATTATTTTGCTTATTAAATTAATTAAGTTGATATTACTACATATGATTCACTTTGTATATAGTGCATCCTATATCAAAAATAAATAATTTTTAAAATTTTTTTTTTAAAATCTTATCTAACTCAAATTACTTAAACATGTTTACAAACTTATAAATCAAATTCAAATCTAATTAAACTTAATTAAAAGGTTTGTTTTCAAATCAAACTTAAATATTTTTTTAAAAAGTATTTGAAATTAAGTTTGATTAGAAGTCAAATTAAATTCAAACTTAGTCTAAAGCTTGATTTGATTTGATTTAATAGAAACCCTGATAGTTGGTTGTTAGGAAATCTTTGTTTAAAGTTTATAAAAAAGAAATTTATCCAATTTTGATTTCTTTCAATATTTTGTGTTTTTAAAACTTTTAGTGATGATTTCTTGACAACTACTAAATCAAATTTTATAAACTTTTTTTTGATTCTACAGAATTACTAAATTGAAATAAAAAATTTTACTGAATTTGATCAAGTAATTATTGAAAAGTTATTACTAAAAATTTTAAAGAACCTTCAAATTTATTAATAGGATCTCCAATTTTGTTTAGGGTCTTGATATTGTATTTCTACACTCTTTTGATATTTCTACACCCCATATAAATCACTTGTTTTTTTAAATTGATCAAATATATTTTAGCAATCATTTAACCAAATTCAATGAATTTTCTTATTTGAATTCTAAGATTCTGTAAAATTCAAATAAAAAAAAATTCAAATAAAAAAAATTTCAAATAAAAAAAAATTCAAATAAAAAAAAATTCAAATAAAAAAAAATTCAAATAAAAAAAAATTCATCAAATTTGTTGGATAATTGTCAAGATATCTTTGATCAAAGTTATTTTTTCACGCCTAATATGTTGATAGATGTTTAAGCAACAACCATCGAACAAATTTCGATGAGTTGTATTTATTTGAATTCTACAGATCCGCGGAATTCAAATAAAAAATATTTATCGAATTTGTTAAATGGTTGTCGAGTACCTTTGATCAAGTTTTTTAAAAAAATTCAAATATTAGCCGTGGCAAAATTTCCTTGATTTTGATCGATAACTAACCAAATTTGAATTTTTTTTTTTTTTTTTTTTTACGGATCTATAGAATTCAAATAAAAAAATTCATAGAATTTGGTTAATGGTTGTCGGAATCTTTTAATTAACGTTAAAAAAAGAAAAAAAACTTAATGGGGTGTGGAAATATCAAAAAAGGGTGTGGAAATACGTATCAGGTCCCTTTTTTTTATTGGCTATTTTCTTTTTAGGAGTTTGTATTACCGGCACAAATAAGTAAAACCGGCTTTAGACGACCCCTGTTTTACTTAAGTATAACAATACGTTAAGTAAATACTGGGCAACCTTCTATGTCCGATGAATTTTACCAGACACCGGACATATAAATTTTGTCCGGTGTCCATGATCAACGTATTAACATATACAGTATATAGAGTAAAAAATTGGCACTTGTCCAATTGACCAACCCTGAAATGCTGAAATGCTTCATATGATATTATTCGTCACATAGTTTGGGAGGTTTAACATCGATAGTACGTACGTACGTACGTACGTACAGTACGTACTATATACCGGATACGTATATAGCAAAATAGGCTTAACAAATGCTATGTTTAAATTCTATAAACTATTTTAATATATTTCTCTGATTGGTAGGTAATACATTATACAGTATTATATGTACTCATTGTTATTGTGGGCTAGTAACTTAATATAGAATAAAATAAGCAAGTGGGCTTTTTTATTATTACTACTAAATCGATACTTCAAATTTAGTCTGTTAAACAGGTAAAATCAAGTGTAGAGTGCCTACGTATTATAGCGGTGTTAATTGTATACGTAACACTAAAGGTAACAGTGACTAGCACTTAAAACTAACTGTATCGGTATATCGAACAAAATCTATTTTTTATCCAACCATTTTTGTCCAACTAATTATATAGTATATACATAGTATATACAGTATATAGATAGATCAGTTTGTTTTAACATTAAAACATTAAATACGATGGAAAAACTATTTACCTGTAAACAATATCGATATCGGAAACAATGTAAGCTTTGAATGTCGAAATTTGATAAATACTGCATCGGTATTAATTCAAGTTACAAGCAAGAGTACTATGAAATATCCGTAAAGGTGTATCGATATTGATACGTATCGATAGATATTAATGCTTAATACGGATCATCACGGCAAAGTTTGCATACATAAATAGCAGGTAGGTTACAAGATTACAATAAGAGTAAGAGACTTGATTATTTATAGAATTTCTTCACTTAACTATGATATTTCGAGGAAATGTCAATTGGAAAAATACTCTTTTGAAATAGTTACGACTTTGCCAATTTCCTCGGGGTCATACATTCAAAAAGTGCCTGGAAAGTTCATTATCAGTAGTTTAACGGCAAGCTTTAGCGCTGTTAACAACTTTTGTCTTACCTTGTCTTCCAGTATTTCAGTACTTCAGTAACAGCCAATAATACCACTTATCGCTATATAGATTCAAGTTGAACAACTCTCTTGCATCTAAGAAACCATAATGAGCAAAGACCATACTATTTCTGGTTCTGAAAAAGGACAACGTCTTGCAAGAACTACGTATCCAACGTATGACCGGAACAAACTTCCTACGTTACAGGAAGTCCTTAGTCGTAAAACGGCGCCTCCTGTATGTCTTTACAACTTTTATCTTTACATGAGAGATAGAGAGCAGGCATCAGAATATCTAGATTTTTATCTTGATGTATTAGAACATGAAAATATATGCAAAGCATTCGTAAAAGACATAAAAAAACTTGGATTGGATCTCAACATTGAATATCCAGAGTATGAAAGGTATCGACCTGCTGGTATAGCACCGGAAAAAGGTAAATTGAGTAGACTTAGCGTAGCCACGAGTAATGATGGGGGTGTTCAAAGACAATTGAGCGCTTCATCACGTGAGTCAAATGTCACAAATAGCACCGGTGGCGTTTTTGATACCCCTTCACGCCCTGATTCACCATATTCAGGCCAACACATAATCGATATAGCGACTGCGAATAAAGCATCACGATTTACGAGACATAGAGATTCAGTTCGATCAAACAAGACTAATACTACCACAGGCAATCTTTCTTTTTATGGACGGGAACGTCCATTTACGAAAGATGATCTTCGCGAATCTGCGGAACGTATTTATTACAAATATCTTAACGAGGAATCTGAAAAAGAGATCGAGTTGTCAGATCATACTCGTGAAAAAATAAAACTTATTATGGAAGAAGAAAGTGGCACTCTAAACAAAAGAGCTGATCCATGGATTTTTTATGAGGCAAAAAGGGAGGTTTTCGAATTCATGCAAAGGGAGCATTTTCCTAGGTTTTTGGAGGCAAGAGCGTTTGGCAATATGAACATCTTGCAAACCATGTTAAGATTAGTTCTCGGATTATTCTTTTTATTCATCGGATTTGCCACAGCATTAAGTTTGATTTTCTTAGATGTTAAACCAAGGGCTGTTAGGATATGGGTATGCTTAAATATTTATGTAAATGGTTTTATAAGATTCTTCTTTCTTATCGTAATTAAACTATTTTGTAGTGTTTAATTCCTATTCTTATGGGTGTAACCAATTTATTTGCCAATCAAAAGGAACTTAGTCCTCTATTTGTTTTGTTGAAAATAAGGTAATATATGTTTATTCAATTAAATGGTTTTATTAATTTATGAATAATCATTTATTTTGTTTAAAATTATTAGCGAAACAAAATTTGCTAGATTTCAACGGGTAATGGAACCATACATATACAAATTACATATAAAAAAAGGAATAGAGATATTTTTGAAAAGTTTAATTATTTCAATTGTTCTTACTGCAATTTTTGTTGCGGTTCCTGGCCATAGATTGTAACATGCTTCAAAATATTCTTATAAATAGCAATGTTTTAAGAAGAAACGTCTCTTGCTTTGTTGCGGTTTCGTTTAGTTTATTTTATATTTAAAAAATATCTCTACGCCATGTTGTAATGTTCTTTTGAAAAGAATGTACATTTTATTGTTTCCTTTCTGTTTGTAATAGTAGGCTTTTATTTATTTTTAATGAAAAATAGAAAGGTATATTATCCCTGTACATTTTTCCGGTGGTTAAAATAATGGAACTCTATCAATATTTTCCTAGAAAAGTTTATCATTTCTTGTCAAATTCTCGATGAATTTTGACGAATTTCGACGAGCAAATTAATTACAACAATTTATTATATTTCTATATTTAATACATAAAGCTACCGTGCAAATTGCTTCTCAAAATTCATGTTTTCAGTTTAATGTTAAATTGGTCTTACGATAAAGATTTGTCGCATTACATCACGTGCGTTAACCGATGATAACTTTTTAACCCTGGCCAGATTTTATCGAACTTTTTTAATCTTGAAAGTTATCATTCTTGATATTTCCACTCGCTAAAATTTTTTCTTGAATGATATATTTGTGTCTCTTCGTTATAATATTCTGAGTTTTAAAAACGCGAGTTGCTAAAGTAAGATCCAAAAGTGAACAATTAAAATGGGGTAAGTTTCCTCACAGTTGAAAGACTATCCTGAATGATTTCATAAAGTTTTGTGTTATAGTAGTGTCTTCCCTTCTCCAAATTCTCCTACGAATTCTCCGAGACATATCATTCATACAAGGGGCGCGTTAGCTGCTGTTGGTGCAAATAATTATACGCAGGTATAAAATGAAGTTTACAGTGCACGATAATACTGTGTTTTTGGGTGTAAGGGTAAAAGCTAAAATAAATGAGGGAACATTAATTAATTGTATAACTTGTAGAATAATCATGATCAATGCGATGCGTGTGGTTATGGTGGTCGTTTAATGTGCTGTGACTCTTGTCCAAAAGCTTTTCACTTTACATGTCTGGTACCTCCTCTTGACGTTGATAATCCGCCAAAAGGAAATTGGTATTGCCGTGAATGTAAGAGTGATAAGGTTTGTATTAAATGCATGACTATTGATCCCATGTTGTGGTTTTTTTATATTTCATCAATTGAATTCTTCCATCGGTATAATCATTTTTTTCACGTTAATTTTTGTAGGCTTCACCGTCGATGCCAGCACAAGGTCCTTTCCAAGAGCTGATATACAAAGCCCGTTGCTCTAATCCAAAATCTTATTTGTTGCCGGAGCATGTTAGAAACGCATTTGAAGATGGTTCGTTCGATTTTAATCGTTCAAATTATCGCCGATTATGAAATAATTGATATTATTCTTTTCTCTTTATGAAATAGTCGGTACAGGTCCTCATGGCGAATATGTAGATACAAACAAAGTCAAGTTCGAACAAAAAGAGTAATGCGCTCATTTTAATGATCAAAAACACTTTCATCGACAATTCTCTTCTATCATTAATAAGTTGTATTTCTAAATTTATCAAAGTCGGAATGGGTTCACTCTTGAACCGGATCATCATCGTATGATAGATGACAATGGAAAACTTATACGGTGTTTTAAGTGCAAGCTTCCTCCAAGCAAATCGAAACCAATAATGTCTTGTGATTTTTGTGATCTTCATTGGCATTTCGATTGCTTGGATCTCCCATTAGTAATTCCTATACCAGCGAACAAAAAATGGATGTGTCCATGCCATGTAGATCATGCGTTGGTAAGTAATGGTTGACATAAGTAAATTTAAGCGGTTGATTTATATAACTTCCTTCTCTTCTTCTCTCAAATAGCCACCATTACGAAGGTTATGTTCAGATAATAATTTGCCTTTCAACGACAATACAGCCGTCGAACACTCTCCACAAAAAAAAATACACATCGAATGTGATCCAGAATTCTACCTCAATGACACATTGCATAAATTACCTAAGCATGGTGTCAAGCTTAATTATATTGAACAGATAATTGACAGTTTACAAAAAGAAAAAGAAGCTGAAAAAAAAGACCAATTTGAAGATGACATGAACGACGATGTTAAGGATGATGAAGATATTTGTTCTGATTCACATGACGATGAAAGATCACTTTTAAAAAAAGATGAACAGAAAATTTTAATAGATGGTCGGCATAATGGTGAAAGACCAGCTGATAGAGATGTTCAGCAAATGGTCATGGAAGGTTCACCAACTTTCCAAGTTACAAATGAAAGTGGTGTGACATTTGATGAACCAATAAGCCCCAAAAGGGCGCGTGAAAGTGTTGAATTAAAGGATTTAAATTCTTTCCTTGTATCTGGTAACACCAATAAAGAATCGATAGATCAACCTCGTGCAAAAAGAACACGTCAAGATGAAGCAATCAAAATAGACGTCAATGCAACTGAGGGTTTTGAGACCATTTCACATTGTATGACCCATGGTGCCGATATGAGCAGCCATTCAGAGAAACCTAATTCTGAATCAACTTTTTCCGATGAAATATTTGAGATTGAAGAAAGATTAGAAAAAAATGAAGAGGTTTATAAAGAAAACCCATTACGTTTATTGATGGAAGTCGCGTTGGTTGATATGGTATGTTTTTTTATATTAGCTCTTCAAAGTGGATTCGTACTTATATTTATTCATTTGTAATTTTAGCGATGAAGATTTAAGGTTGCAATCCAAGCCTCTTTTTGAATTGACATTACTACATGGTTTGGGTTGGGAAATCGGGATTTCTACTTCACTCGTATAATAACAAAAATTTAAGTATATGTCCATTCACAGTCAATAGTGTAAAATTCAAAAAACCAATAAAATTTGTTAAATCAATGCTATAAATTATTAAAACTTCGTTATCTTTGTTTTCAAACTAAGAATTTAAGATGGATTTGGCGACTAAGCAGGATCTATTGAACAAAGTGATGTGTTACAGTAGGCCTAATAGGTATATCGAATATGTGTACAATAAGTGAAAAATAACTATAGATTGAAAGTTTTTAACATCCAAAATAAGATTCGAGTTGTAAATAATGAACCTTTCGATCAAGTTTCCTTTGAAATTCGAACAAAAGTGCTTAATAGATCAAAATCCTTAGCAAACAACCCGATCCTTCGTATAGTACAATATTGTTGATTAACTTCGTATATAGTTGTTAATTGATAATGAATTACCCGTGATTTGTAAATTACAAAATTACCGAGCATCGATCAGCAAGAATATGTATTCACTAAGTGTCGATTACATAAGAAACCAAATTATAATATTCTGGTTTGATATTTTGTAAAATATGTAAGATACCAAAAGGTCCCAGAATTAACGATCTGATTTTGATTTTTAATAGAAACTTTATAAATACAGTAAAAAAAATAAAATAAAATACACTATAAATCAGCTATGCTCGAAAAATTCAGAATAAGATAAATGATGCTCGAAATTTTCCGATTTATTAATATTTAGGGTCCTACCATGTCGAATGAGACGTTAAATCATTCAATCTAGTAAAAAGAGCTTCAGTGACTAGAAAGAAGTGAGATTTCGTATGAGCACGTGATCTACATAGTTGTACGTCTGGGGACTATCAAAAATTTAGTTTTGGAATGAAACGTTAAAAGTTAATCCCGGCCAAAAATTATGTAAACAATAGTGTTCCGCGTGAATCGGACCGGGCGGATATTTTTACAGTTCTCAAATTCTGGGACTTTACTGATGCTCATTCGACCGAAAATCCAATATCGATCGATACACGAAATCAAAAACTTATCAAATTCGGCTAAAACAATTTTCCCCAGAATTTATGAGAATAGCTAGGGTTGTTAATGGGCTTGATTTAAAAATTCGATCTTTTTATTTTTAGAAATTTTTTGTCTCCTGATATATATGATATCAGGATTTGAAGCGTTATCAGATACATTTTCAGATATATCTGAATTTGAAGTAATAACGGATATATCGGATGCTGAAGCATCTTTGTAAGTCGATTTGTTCGGGAGTATCGTTGGAATTTTCTATTTCGGTAGAGGTGGTATTAACTGAAGATTGTTTAATTTCCTTAATTTCATTGTCTAACTTTGCAATATGGATAGTCTTTTCTTTATCGTTCTGCTCCAGTTTAGCAAATCTAACTTCATAATCTTTTAAAGTTTGCTTTAATCTTGCATTCTCTATCTCAAGCACATTTTTTTCGTTTACTATTTGTTCTAATTCTGCATCACCTTGAGTTTGCATATTTAATATTATATAACTTTATCACAAATGTTTGGTAAAAGAACTTTATTATACACGTTTTGGAAAATGTTTTTTATTAGTTACTGCGTTTATTTCAAATAAAAAAAAAATCGTGTGTGTGTGAACAAATTGTTCACACTGATCACTTTCGCCAAGAGAAAATATCAATAACGAAATACACATATAGAAGTAAACTAATTATTTATGTCAAATTAGCCACCAGGGCCAGATTTATTATATAAAAATACAGGATAAAAATATATATATTCTAGAAAGTTTTTTATCAGATCTAAGAATTTTTTTTTTGGTGGAGAATATGTCGTTGACATCATTAATGTTGATTAAGTTCGCCTCTCACTCAATGGTAGAAGAATGATCTCATCTTTCATACCAACAATTGTTCAGCTACAGTCTTTAATTAATATACTTCTTAAAAATCCTTCAATATCCTGACGTGTTATATCATTTATTGAAACAATCTTCACTATGAATATAAACCAGCTTTTCTAACCTTTTTTGGATCTGCTCTCAAATGAATGTGCAATAAAGCTAGTATAACCTCAACACAAACAAAAAAAATGAATAATGGCACAATACGTATTATATAAATTTATTTTTTTCATTAGCGGCGCAGTGGTCAGAAATTTATTATTTATTTCAATGTATACACATATCCATCATCCGAATCATGGACAATATATTTTATTATGGTAGAAGGGTAAATTAGGGTAAGATTTGTTCATCTTTAATTTCGCAAAACTTACCAGTGGCATCCCGAAATCTGGAACTCATTCGAACATTACTAAAATTTTGGTCATGCCAAAAGTGTATGATATTGAATCTTCCATTCTGAAGATTTTCACATGGCCAGTATGGATCAGATGTAGAAGAATCTTCTCTAGAAAAATGCACAATCCAAACTTCCCGAGGGCAGAGCTTGTCAGCATATTCTAACACTTGACCAAAATGTTTTTTAAGTTTAGAAACGGATCCCGTTGCTACAAGTTCAAGGATGGCCTCGGGATAGGATTCATTCAGTTTTTTTATTATCAGGTCACAATAAAAATAATGATTGCCATCATCGCACACTTGTTCAAGATGCCACTGACCAGTTACTTCGAAGCCATGCATCTTTGCAAGCCAATTCACTAAGATTTGGTACATCTCAGCATTGTAAGTGCTCTCTACTGTTGTTAGGCAAAACTACTTTTGGCAAATGGCAAAAGTCGAAACTAAACCCGGCAAAAGTCAAAACTGGCAAAACTCTGGTGAAACGGCAAAACTATGGCAAAACCCTGGTAAAGCTAAAACCCCTGGAGAAAGTCAAATATAACGAAGATCAAATCCTCTAAGACTTTAGAATGTTGGTAAATTAGCGTATAGCTATTAAGCACAGCATGTGACTTATAATATACAAACAAAGCGATAGCCTTTTGTTTGTATTCGAATACTATTAAAAAAAACTACCAGACTTCATGCTTTTGAACTTATAAATAAATTTGCCTTGAAAATTCAAAGCATGAAATCCTGTTTTCCTTTAGTAGCGCTATCTACAGGGGGTAGCATATTATTGTGGACACTTTTTAAAAATTTATATTGAGCCAAATAAGCAAGATATTAAATTCAAAGTTATATAAAAAATTGCTTAAATCTAAGGCTTTTAAATAAAAAAAAATTCATAAAATTCTATGCAATAGTT